TTTTTTTTTTTTTTTTTTTTTTTTGTAAAATAAAAAAACTTATAGCCCTATTACACTATCAAGAGAGAGAAAAAAAAATTGCACATAATAATATTCTCTTAGACAAAATTATAATTTAGTCCTGTTGGTTTAGTCTAGTGACGTTTTCAATCTTGAGAATTGAACATTTTTGCCATGTGGTCATATGATTTTAAAACTCAACGTAATTTCAGTTATTTGAGACTGAAAATGCAACAAAATTTACAATTACAAGACTTAAATTGCTAATAAAAAGTTGAATTTTCAGCAAAAGCTGAAAATCACAGGACTTAAAATTTTGGTACCAAATGAATGAAATTGCAGCAAAATACTAAATTACAAGATGAAAAGACAAAAAGTTCGAAATTTTAGGACAAAAAATGCTACGACGTTACACCAGCAGGACTAAAATTACAATTTTACCTTATTTTTATGTTGTATTTTTAAAATATGATGATATTTGATTATTTGAGTATGAAGTTGTTTGCATTTATCGAAAGAATATTAATGCACAATTATTAAGCAGTACCTTCAAGCTTTTATACGTTGTCAAACGTAAATTTAATTAGCTGACTCCAAATTAGTTGCTTGGATCTTGTATATGTTGTCAAATATCAATTTTATACATATTTTTTTCCTTCTAGACTTTGCCTATTCATTACCTATATATATATATATATATAAGATGTGGTTCAAATGAGAACCAAGTTATAGCGTGAGAACCGTGATGACCGATTTTTTTAGTTGTACGTAGTGCTATGATTAATTGTGTTTTAGTGCTATTTTTAACATAGATTTATGTTATTAAAAATAGCAACACAATTTATATTAACATTTGTAAGAATGATAGCACCATGTGTGTTAAAACTTAAAAATAGCACAATTCACAATAATAAATAGCATCAAATATGGTTCTCACGGCTCTTACAAACTTTATCATTTATATATCTCTCTATATTTAATTACTAATAATAAATTTAATAATATTAGTTATTGTTTACCATCTTTTTATGTTACAATCTTCTATTGTTATTATTATTATTATTATTATTATTATTATTATTATTATTATTATTATTATTATTATTATTATTATTATTATTATTATATGTATATATATAATTACTAGTTGATACATTTAATAAAACATTTAATAAAACTTATTTTCATATCTCTCCAAAATGAGTTACATTTTTCTTAATTAATTACTCATTAATCTGTTAAAACCGTTACACCTTAATATATACTAGTACAGAGCCCGTGCGATGCACGGGGTGCACAATTTTAAGGCCATATATCCAGCCTTATAATTATATAAATGAATAAAAAAGATGTACAGGATATATAGTACGTGACATGTGGGAGACACAGGATATATTCATTTGAGGAGTATTATAATTTAATATGCAATATTCAATAAAAGTTGTACAATACACAGAAAAATTATACAATAAAATAGTATTGAAAAAAGAAACAATCATATATTATTAAAGAGCTCCTTGTACACAACATTATGAGTTTGATTATCGGGTAACTCCTCATTCTCACAAACTAATATCTTCAACCCCCTTCTATTAGTCACACGCGAAACAAAAACATATAATTGACCATGACTAAATACAGGCTTCTTTAGAAAAAGACCAACGTGAGATAAAGATTGTCCCTGACTCTTGTTTATGGTCATGGCATACGAAATCATAAGTGGGAACTGCCGCCGCTGAAACTTAAATGGAACCCTAAGATCAGAAGGAGTAATATTCATTCTAGGAATCAACACTGTGTCGCCAGCATGATCACCAGTCAACATCTTGTATTCAAGACAAAAAAAACAATAGGCTTGGATCATTCATATTTCACATCTTTTAATAAGTGGCGTTTATTTAAGCCAAAAAATTAACATGTTAATTAATATATAATTCCATAAACACGTCATACTAATATTTATTTGATTTTAGAATACATATTTATTCATTGATATAAGAAAAAATATAAATTTTATTAATTATTGTTCACTATATAATACTCAATTATTATTTTATTATAAAATTTACAGTCATATAATGTAATTATTATTATTTATAAAATTTATAGAAGTAGTCTTCTTTATATAATAAAATTCAAAATAAAATTTTGAGTATAAATGTTTACAAAATACACACACATGTTTTTTAGAATTCAATTTTCTCATAATAATTCTTTTTTTCATCCTAAGGCTTTATAGTTTATTTAACATACTATGCAATAGAAAAATATTTTACAATATGTTCATTTTTGAAACATAACAAAAAAAAGTGATAAAAACACTATCATAGTTGACAATAATATACAAATAAATAACATGTCGAAATTTTAAAGAATAATTAATATAATTTTATTATCTAACCATCATGTAAAATCATTTAATGATGATCATTATCTTTTAAATAATAAATAATATTAATTTTTTTAAACAAATATTAGTGTATATAATTAAATAAAAGTTAATTATATTAATTATAATGGATATCAGTAAAATCATTGCATAAATTATTTAAGGAAAAAATCTTTAAGATCATATTTGGATAGTAAATATAAATATGCAAACATTTAATGCATATAGTAAAAAATTTCCAAATAAAGTATGCATTAAATGTGTGTTGACTTTTTTTGCTACTGTTTTTGGTAAATAAGTTGGCTTTTAATATATAGATATATAGATATATTTTTATTATTTATTTTTGGATCAATTACTAAATTAATTTTAAATTTGGTAACAAAATCTATCTAATTATGATGTGTATAAATAATCGGCTAAAGTTGTCACAACTTTAAAATAGTTGGGGAAAATATATGAACGAAACAAAGGAAAACCATAAGAAGTAGCTCAATAATTAATCAACGTACACATGTAACAGAAATTTAATAAACAATATACGTGTGAGAAAGTGTAACATAATTATCAACCGATTATTTATACACATCATAATTAACTTATATATAGATAGATTTAAAATTTTTTTATAGAGATAAAGGGAAAGATGATCAAGAGACTCACCTAATGGACATATATATGTTGGGAAGTTAATGAAATCTTCAATGGCTATTAAGCATTTTGGACCACGCTAAATTACGTGCAACAACACCTAACTTAAGGCACCGTCCTTTGTTTTATTTATTTAATTTATATTATTTATGAATTAGTACAAATCTCATAAACACTCCGTCCTTTGCTTTGTTTATTTATTTATGAAATCTCATAGAGCAATATTTTATTTTTTTTTGACACATATGTATACATTTAAATCGAAACGTCATATTTTTTAAATAAATAAAAATTATGATATTTTATAGTACGTATTTTTATTTTAAAAAAAAAAGTGTGACGAATCGACTCATCAATAGACCGTTTTGTATAAGAATTTATGTTCATGAGCACATACCTGTTGGAGACTTCGGGTATCACAACAAACGCAACTGACAAAATACCTCAACAACAAATAATGGCAAGCACTACTGAGGTCATCTCCAGTCCTTATCTTTCCTCTAGAGCGGAGTTTACTTTACTTCAAAGTAGAGTTAAACATTCATAAGCAACCATTATCTCTACATTTTACTCCACATCAAATATATTATTTTTTTTATTCATCTTTATTTCAAATAAATTTGTGTATATATGTATATTTAATCTTATATAAATATTTATTACCCAAATGAAATTACGTTTGTGTATTTTGATTTACGTTTGTATATTTAATATTATGTTATTTTTATTTGTGTATTTTATTATTTAAGTTTGTTGTAAACTTTTAATTTTAATGAAATTTACTTGTTGTAATGTGTTAAATTTTTATTCATATGGTACTATTTTAATATTAAAAAACTACAATATAAATTATAATACATCAATAAATAAAAAAACAAAATTATTTAGCATAAAAAATACATTACACAAAATTATTTAGCATAAAAAATACATTTACTAATACACATTATCCAAAAATTTATCATTAACTTTTCCTAAAAAAAAAAAAAAAAATCTAGCGTTGTCTACAATGCTACGCTGGATCTGGCGCATCACTGTTATTTATCTGTTCTAGCGCTAAATTATATCGCAACCTTGGAGGGAATTTCTCATGCTACTCTAGCGTCCTGCGCTATTGTGGAGTAGCATTGGAGCTGGTCTAACAAAAATAAACTTATATAAATGAAGAAAAGATGAGAAAGGAAAATAACACACAAAAATGATAACGGAGTTCGGCCAATATTGCCTACGTTTTCGGGCACCGCCACTCGCAACGCCAAATTCACTAAATTTACCAAGAAAATACAATTAGGGATAACTCACAAGTTAGAATTAAGGATTAATTTCTTCTATGATATGAAGAAGATAATAAGGTTCAAATTGTAACCCAAAGGCAAATGATCTATTTATTCTAAAATGATCATACATATTTTTAATATACATCCTTGTGGGAAGAACGGTAAGCCATAATCTAACAATTTTTCACCTAAACTAATTTTTGCTCCCTCTTCAATTGCCACTAATTAATAGCCTCTCGGTGCCACGTTAAATATCCAGAATATTGGCCACGTCTGAACAATGTTTAAACTTGATTGTCATCACTACATTGGTCATCATATCTGTAGAATTCTCCATTGTCTTGATCTTTTCAAGACAACATTTCAATTTTCTAGAATTTTCTGCACAAAGTGATAGCAAACATCAATATGCTTCTTTCTTGCATGAAATACTTGATTTTTTGCTAAGTGAATAGCGCTCTAACTGTTGCTATGCACTATGATGTGCCTTTGATCAACTCGCAAGTAAAACATCGAAGCAAAATTGTTTCCTTTACAACTTTGGTAACTGCCATATACCAGGTCTATGTTATTGACAAAGCAAGCGTTGACTGGAATGTAAATTTTCAACTGACTGGAACTTTTGAAAAATTGACCCAGTCATTGATCTTCACTTATTCAAATCTCCTGTGTACTTCGAATCACAATATCTAATTACACATTAACAAATTCATCCTACTCATAAGCTAATCGAACGCCTACAATATTATGAAATCTACTATAGAATCCATTTCACAACTTGTCAATTGACTTTTACCGGATTCATGCTTATACCTGCTCACAACACTAACTCCTTGTGAAATGTTGGTCCTTGTTCACAACATTGCTTACATCAAAACGCCAACTGCATTGGCATATGGAACTCTAGCAATCTGTACTTTTGTTCTTCATCAAGTGTAGTTTTTGTTCGCATCAGTTTAATATCTGATACGTAGGCCAATTGCCCACATGATAATAAATTAATTTTTTAAAGAAGAAGGCCCAAAGAATAGCTTGCTATTCGGGCCTTCAAGTGTTGCCCAAGCGTTGCACTATTAGTCAGGCCTCGAGCACACCTCAAAGGAAAAAAAAATCAAATGAGGGGAAGGTATGTACTCATAGGTTTCGTTTCACCTTTTATGTTGAACCATTGTAGTACTTTATTCATATATTTCTTCTTAGTCAAACAAAGCTTTCCTCTCGTTTTGTCCATGTTTACTCCTATCTCGGGTATTTTCTTAGCTTCACTTAAGTCTTTCCATGTTTACTCCTATCTCGGGTATTTTCTTAGCTTCACTTAAGTCTTTCCTCCCAAACTCTTAATTCAATTGAGCCTCAAAATGATCAATCAACACTTGGTTTTTTAATGTAACCAGGGGCGGATACAGATTGGGAGGGGCTAGAACAGTTATTGCAACCGAATAATCGGATTATATTTGTTCAACTCGTGATAGTTTGATCTCATATAATTTATATGTTAAATGAACCAAGCTAGGACGACTAGTCAAACTTTCTTATTTAACAAATCAGACAAATCATATAGATTGGGGCTTACACAAGTCAAGTTTGAGCTCATATTTTTGTTTATCTATTAAATAGTCAAGTTAATATGACTTATTTATTAAATATCACAAGCTTAAACATGAGTATTCAACTTGACTCGGCAAGAATAACATTTCGAGGGGAACTATATAATTTTTAATATCTCTCTTGTTCACACACACACACACACTATATATATATATATACGCGTATAATTGCATCTTAAAATAGATAAAATAATTAATAAGTTGCACTTCAAAAGACATAACTTTTTAATTCTGGTAGTTTAAATGCTTAACATTCTTTACGCTCACGAAACTCATTGATGATTGATTCGATGTTAAAACAAATGCTTAATTGGTAGGTTGCCTAATTGTTATACATATATATTTTTATTGTACGTAAGCTCAATCACAAAATATTAAAAAACAATGTTGAAAAGGTACTTACAAAAATAAGATGTAGTTAAAATTAATTAGTAGATAGAATGATACCATAAATTGTATAATTATGGGAATGAATATAAATTGAATATGTTTTATATATGTTTAATGATGTGTGTGTGTGTATATATATATATATATATATATATATATATATTAAAAAATTACAAGTCTTAACATATATATACATACATCTATATTAAACAAAATAAAAAGTTTGGGGGGACAATGGCCCCCCTTAGTATAGTGTGGATCCGTCTCTGAATGTAACCAACATGTCATCAACATAAAAAAGTATGTTAATGAAAGATCCACCTTGAAACTTGTGTAAATACATCATGTATGCTTCACTGGTACTTATGTCTGGTCATAAACTTATCATATACCACTATCTTGGAGATTGTTTCAATCCGTACATTAATTTATTTAACTTATAGGCCTAGTTCTCATTTTTAAGACTTTGAATCCTTCTAGTTGAATCATGTAGATCTACTCATCTAAATCGCCATGCAAGAATGTTGTATTCACGTTAAGTTGAAGCTCTAAATTCAACTGTGTTGCTGAGGCCAACAAAATTCCAATGGAAGAGTACTTAACAACAGTAGAAAACACTTCATTATAATCAGTTCAATTCTTCTGAGCGTAGCTCTTAGCCACCAATCTCATCTTACAGCGAATATCATTTTTAGGAGAAATTTATCTTTCTTTGCAAATATTCACCTGCATTCTATCACCCTCTTGCCTTTTGTTAGTGTTGTCACATTTCAAATTTGATTCTTTAAGGCCTCGTTTACTTTTAATGATAAGGATAGGATTTCGCTGAATCCATTGTTTACTAAAGCAGATTTTGATAGGATTATGGTGATGTGGCGCAGAGGTGCATTTCCTACGTGGCAAAGTAGTTGTTCGATATAAATTATCCCAGCTTGGACATGGGAATTTGCAATCCTGCACTATTCATACCATATTTAACCCTCAAATAGTCATGAAAAGGACTTTAAAACCCTTTTTTTTCTCCTTATTTACGAAACTAACACTTTATAAGATGCTGATGTGGAAATAGTAAAAGACTATTTTATCTAATCCCAAAACTAGGCTTAAGAGGATATCATTCTTATCAGAATGTTCGGATTTTCAATTCCAGTAGCAGCTACGGGACTGATCAGCTCAAATTAGTATATATTGTAACTCAAACTGAAAGATCATGCAGTGGCCCAAGCCCGCTCAAATACTTCTCCCACAACATAAGCCCATTAAAGTTGGTTCATGAGAAAAATTTATCTGCAAAGAAAAAAGAAAAAAAAAAAAGAAAAAGAAAAATCCAGCAGCTCACCATTTGTTTATTCACTTATTAGATAGCCTTATCCCTCAAAGCTTGGTATACAAATTGCCAAGTAGCAACCACAAAAATCTCTTTAATTATTTACATTTTCTTATTTATAATAATAATCAATTGAAGAAAAAGAGGAAAAAATGGCCTCAATTTCAATGGCTTCGCCGTCGGCCGCCGCCGCCCCGAAGAACCGGCAGCCGTTTCTGGGCTCCGGCGCATTCTTCAATCCCCCTCGCCTGAGTAAATTAATTCCAGTTAGGGTTACGAAGGCGCAATCGAAGCTCCGGATCGAAGCCTCCTTGAAGGAGGCGGCTGTCGGGAAAATAGCGGCGGTGGCTGTGGCGGCGTCGATGGCGGTGCCGGAAGTGGCGCAGGCGGCGGAGACGCTGACGCCGTCCCTGAAGAACTTCCTGCTGAGCATAGCGGCCGGCGGCGTGGTGCTGGTTGTTATCGCCGGTGCGGTTGTTGGGGTCTCCAACTTCGATCCGGTTAAGAGGAGTTAATTGATTCCAGATTTGGGATTTTGTACGAGCAATATTTTTTTTTTTTAATTCTAAATGTTTTTCTTGTGGCATAATTGTATTTTTAGTCTTGGTTTAACGTTAATGCTTTTTTAGTCACGAAATTTCAACTTTTTCTTTTTTTTAATTTAGTATTTGTTGCAATTTTAGTCACGTGAGGACTGAAATCGCAATAAAACTTAAAATTATAAGACTTAAATTACTAATAAAATATTAATTTCAAAAAATTTTTTATTAGCAATTTAAGTCTGATAATTTAATTTTATTTTTCAATTTTAGTTTTCAAAATGACTGAAATTGCATTGAATTAAATCTTATGCCTAAATAACAAAATGTTTAGATTTGAGCGCTAAACACGCCACTGGATCAAACCAACGGCATTAAAATTGCATTTTTTTTTTTTTAAAATGGTCGTCTTGAATTTGGTTCTTTAGAGTCAATTTGGAATAAGTTATTAAGTTGAGTTGAGCTCACTTGTTTGTTAAACGAGCTCGGCTCGAATAACACCAAATTAGACAAAACGTAAATAACTATATATTGGGCCAACTCTTAAACAAACAGAAATAGTAGAAACTTTAGAAACTAAGCTGGATCGCAAGCCCAACTAGAGTTTGGGCCTGGACATATCAAGTTAAAAGTTTAAAGTAGGGAACCCCTCATGATCAAGAGCACTTGTCTCTAAAACACCCTTTAAAACAATTGCTTATATTTTCCTAAGACAATATCTCGATTTCATACTTCGTTGTCTTTGAAATCCTCTCCTATACATGAGTGTTAGTTGCCCCCCCACAATCTTCAAAACCACTTAGAAATTAACTCCGATACGCGAGGCCTTGTCCGTGAATAAACCTCGCGTTATCCTCAGCGTACACGTGAGTCTCGTTTTTCAGCCTGCACACGAGAATTTTCAAGTGTTGGTTCGAATTTTCAATTTCGAAATTCATTATCAAAACGACGGACTTGAATACTAATAAAAACAACGATTCGAATCTGAGGCCCTACGTTTTCGCGACCGTTTTGTTTAAAATTGTTGAGGACACAAATGAAGAGCCATTCAAGTACAAGAGTTCTCCATCAATTCTTTCAGCAATCTTCTTGTCCAATTTCACAGCGTCTATGCAGAGTGGTTGATCAGAGGCCTGAAATTAATTAACCAACAAAAGCACATTATAAGCATTGGAAAGTAATTAGTTAAGCAATTAGTTAATTAAATTTTTAATCATATTTTACTTACAATAACCCAACCCCACGTGTCAGCAAATGATGGGACATGAGCCGTATAAGCACGTACGTCTGTGTGTACACATCATCAAAGCAACACTATTAATTTAGTTAATAGTGTCGACCAGCCTAACAGTTAGACCACCTCATACGAGAATTTGTGTTCTTTTACAAAATACAAGGAAAAATATATAATTTGACAAAATGTTGGGGATATAAATTTATTTTTATTTATTTTTTAATTAATTGTTGAAATTGGAGATTGTGTGTATGATTGACTTACATTTGAAGACTTGTTTTATGGTGTTATATATTGATGAGAAGACCTCCTTATGAGTAAAAATCCCAGCTGGTCCAGCCTAAAAGGTACCAATTTTAAGCAATTAAAACTCATCAGCAATTTAAATTTAAAATTTAATAATAATCATCATATATAATAAAAACACACTATATATATATATATATTATAAAATTGAAATAAAATACTTGTATACCTGAGTAACAAAGATGCCATTGTTATTGAGCTTGGGCTTAAGAATATTTTGGTAGAAAGATTTAGTGTAGAGCTGATAGCAAGGCCCACCTTCAACTGGGTCAGCTAAATCTCCCACAATTATGTCAAATTTTTCTTTCCTCTCCTCCAATTCAGCTCTTCATAAGAAAATAATAAAATATAATTCTAATTATTGTAAATTATTATAAATTACTATTATTATTATTATTATTATTTATTATTATTATTATTATTATTATTATTATTATTATTATTATTATTATTATTATTATTATTATTATTATTATTATTATTTACTTGGCATCATTAATCACTAAATCAAGCTTCAGGTTCCTGAAAGCCTCGTAATTTGCTGTGAGATGCTTTTTGCAAAAATCGACGACCTCCTGAAATTCGTACCAATAGTTATTGATAATAAGTTTATTGATATTTAGAAAAAAAAAGATGAAATTAACTGGCCCGGCCCGTCCGGTCCCGTCCCACAAGCGGCCCGTAGGTTGCCGGTTCTGAGAATTGGCACCGTGGCTTTAAGGGTCGTTTCCGGGTCCCTTTTTGTTTTTCTTTGGGTCCCGGCGGTCCGGGACGCGTCCGGACCGGTCCGATTCGACGGACCCAGTCCTTAGTTTTTGGCGAGCAACAGGGTCACCCATAGGAGGCCCGACCGCCTGGCCGGGTCATGTCTAAGCTTGCCAGTTGCCACCAAATGGGGCGAAAATAGATTTATTTATTTATTTAATTTATTTAAAGAGAAGTCAAATAAATATAGTAACTTTACTCATAGATTTGATAATAAGAAACATTAAAAGTATGTATCAATTGGTTCCAAAAAAAAAAAAAAAAATACTTTATGCCGCGTTGGTTGAGCAATTCCCACTTAATAAATATACATAATTTTAAATTAAATAAAAATAGATGTAAATAAATAAATACATAAACGACTATCAATTAGAAGACTATATTTATACAATAAATATGTATAATTTTTTTTTTTTTTGGTACAATAAATATGTATAATTTTAAGTTAACATATCATTCTTTAAAATTAATATAAATAAAAATAAATAAGTCTGCATTTTTGTTACAAAAAATAATACGACGATCTCAGCTTATACAAGAATTTATATTAATTCCACTAATTATATTTAAATTTTTATTTTTTTTCTTCAAAATTTTATTTATACCTGATCAATATCACACATGACCACTTTCTCTACTGATTTGTGCCTCAGTGCCTCCCTTGCGGCCGAGCCTTCGCCACCGCCCATTATAAACACCGTTTTGGGACTAAATCAAAGTTCAAAACAACAAATATATTTAAAAAAAAATAATAATAATTAATTTATATTCAACTAAACAATATGTTAGAAAAATACAAAAAAAAAATAATAAAAATACTAATTATGTTAGAACTCACTTGGGGTGACATAAGAGCGGTGGATGAATCAAACACTCGTGATATATAAATTCATCAATTTCAGCACTTTGCATCTTCCCATCAATAACCAAAGCCTTCACAATTTGACCACAATTAGTTAATTAATTGTCAATTTTTTTTTTTATTTTTTTTTTTATTATTTTTGCAAATTGAAAAAGTAAAAATAATGTATTAGTAAATTTGGGAAATATTACAGTTCCGTTACGGAACCATTTCGTCGGGATTTGTAACCGTTGGATCATTATGTAACCGTCGTGGATAGTTGATCTAACGGTTTCAGACCCTGACAGAATGGCTCCGTAGCGGGACCGTAGAATCTCTCAGTAAATTTTACCTTGCCAAAGTGCTTTGTGTCCAGAAGAGCTATGTCTTGGTACTCACTAGTTCCTCTGTGCAGTACCCTGAGTATGGTGAAAGTATACTATACCATTTATATCTTTTTATTTTTAAATTTTCAAACAATGAATAATATAAAAGCTATAAGAAATTAAGTTGAATATTTTCCTTAATTAAAACATTTTTTTTTTTGTTGGGTTTTTTTTTTTATAAGAAAGAGCATTAATTAATTACATCATAATATGAACAAGCAAACAAATGTAAGTAAAGAAAAAAGAACCTGTTCAAAGCAAAAGACCACTTGAGATCAACATCAATCTCTTCTTCAAACCAAGAATCTTGTTGTTGCTCATGATTTTGCTCCACAATCATATTGTGATTAGTTTCACAGTGAACTTTTGTTAGGCCATTGTTATAAGGAAAGACCACAGTTTCACCCATATTTTTTTTAATTATTTTTTTTTTTTTCTCTTTTTGAAATTAGTATAGGTGAACAAAGTTGAAGAACTTAGAAGACAATGGCAAGACTTCAAGTGGGGGAAGTTTTGGGAAAAGGGCTTGGGATAAAATGAACAAATGTGATGGTCTCCTTTTATAGGCATCCAAAAGTGTGACAAGTCCTCTGTTTTTGTCCTGACTTTTAGCCTAGCTCATGGGTACTATGATAGGTAGTTTATATATTTTAAATTGTATCATATGTTCTCAATCTTATGTGGTTCCCTTTTTGGTGTGCAAATCTAATCCCACATCGAAAAATTAAAGCTTCCAAGTTCAGTATATTAGTTTGGTAGACTAATTCTTATATTGTCTATTGGTTTTAGAATGGAACCCCAGTTGTACTTGTATGTCGGGCTTGATGGATAACTGGACTTGAGTTATTGGCCTTAACAGTTCCATTTGAAGGATTTTAGCTGGTAAATAAAATGAGTTGTTTGTGAGTTCAGTTCTTAAACTTAAAAATATGAATGAGTATTGATTTTTTTGTAGCTTGATTTGTAAGGATTGAACTTAACTAGTTAATATTATTGATAAACAAGTCAGACTCGAACTCATTTATTAGCTCTGATCCATAAAAGCTCTAGTTTGATTTTAGGTATCAGAAATCTAAGGTTGGCACGACTCGACTCGATTACACCTTCAAATTCTAGGAGTTAAATATTTATAGAATAAATTTTGTGTTAGAATTAGCATAATAAAAATTCGAAACAAAACGTGATAACATATTTATTGTTGATTTTTTTTATGGGCAATCTATTGTGTGCAGTATATTGTGCATTTTGGTGGATTTCATATTTACAACCTATAGAATTATCTTCTAAATATATCAAAAATATGTTTCATTATAATAACTGATGAAAACGCGATTGTCCTTGCATTCTTGAATAAACATGATCGATTGGTTCATTTAGTCTAGTTATTATTATTACACTTATTTGCATTATTTAGATGGTAGGTGAATATTTATTTATTTTCTCTTATCATTGTCTTGGTAGGCAAGTTAAGTAATCTAGAGTTGGGTAAGACTTTTATTTTAGAAGACTTCTCTTCTTTTGGAGAAGGTCGATAAATTGAAATAAAAAAATATATCAGTTGAGAGTTTTTTCTCTTATTCTTTTCTCATTCGTTACATTGTGCTACATCAATTGATATCCAGAGACCAGTAGAATCCAAGATGCCACCGAAGAGGAACGAGGCAGCAGACGAAAGGTGTGACGCAGCCATCAAGTCGTTGGGTCGACAAGTTGTGGATATCACCACAGGTTTCAGACGACAAATCGATCTCATGGGACGTCAGATTGTGAACTTGGCCGCGAGTTTCAACGTGATGCATCTGGCCGACCATACCACTGTTCCTGGGATTGGACGAGGGACGCGGTGGGATGCCCGGGGTTGTGGCCGAGATCCTCACGGGGCACCCCGTTCCCGATCATCTCACTCGCGGGTCAGAGAGATTGATGACGAAGACACCTTCACTGAGTTCAACCCTTTTGGTCATCAGATGTGAGACAACATTTTTCGGGCCGACGATCGTCGGTGGGATTTGTCTTTTCGTGTCAACATTCCGGAGTTCTCCGATGGCTTGGATGCTTCGGAGTTCCTCGATTGGATGGCAGCAGTTGAGTCCGTCCTCAACTATAAGGAAGTGTCAGATGACCCACGCGTGGCTTTGGTCGCAACTCGTTTGCGCGACCGGGCCTCGCTTGGTGGAAACATCACAAGGACTCGTGGCGTCGGCTTGGATAACCAAATGTTACGTCTTGGGTAAAGTTTCATAAGCACATAACACGTTAGTTCTTTCTTTTAATTATGTGCATAACATTTATCAGCGTTTACAAAATTTGGGACAAGGGCCATGTTCGATGAACGATTACACCGAGGTATTTTATCGACTTCTTATACAGACTGATGTACGTGAGATTACAGACCAAATCGTCTCTCGTTATATTAGCAGGTTGCGCTTTCCCATCCAAGACACACTAAATCTATTCATGTCTGATTTTGTATCCGACGCGCATCAACGCGCTGTCCTCGTGGATCAGCAGCTTGCGCGGCAGGCTGCAACCTCTCTTCCGCCGACAACACGAACATGCGCGACAACCCTGTACACAATGGGACCGGAAACCGCGACATTTTTTCGCCCAGTTGTAGCTCTCAGTTGGCCCTCGACCTCGTCGACGGATCCAGCGGCAGGAGGCAAAACTACAGAGGTTTTGTGATGCTTCTCGTGTAGCGAGCTGGGCCACCAAAAAATGGCTTTCCTACAGCCTGGTGACTCCTGCATGCTTCTCGCGGACGACGGCGGTTTCCAGGAATATGATGATCCTCTAGTGTTCAATGAAGAGCTATCTTTAGAGGAGGTGCATGTGCACGATGACATCGGTCTGGCGCTTCTTCTTTCTTGATAATGTTTGGCATTTGTGCTTTTGGAGAGGACTTTCAATCCACTTTTGATGCCTTTCAAGATAATCTAACACTATGTAACATGTTTGCACATCTGACCTTGAGGAACTAAGAGAAAACTCCAATGATGACAAAGTTAGAGGGTCTTGGCATGTTCTATCTTGCTCCAACCTTGGACTCAACAACTGGCCAAGCTCATTTCAACACTATCTGTGACTGGGGTGTCGCATTTGACGACGAAAATGCATGTGGATAGTCTGTCCAACTCCGAAAATGATACATTATTGCGTGATCTTGTGGATGCGGTCACTGCTGACAAGAGACTTGAAGATGCGTGTCGTCTCCATAACGATTTTGCGATAGATGATTATGTGTGGGATGTACAAATGACTAATGAATTTTCTGCAAGTGCGTATACCAATTTATCGGCTCGCAAAATAGGTTCGGTTAAAATTGTAGAGAAGATCGATCCAAATGCGCGCCTCCGCTTGCCTTACCACATTCGTACCTCACATGTCGTAAATATCAAATGTTTGGTGCGGCTCTGTGGGGAGATTTCGGGTGAAGATGAGATTGGATCAGATTAGAGGGCGAATCCTTCTCAACAGGGGGAGAATGATGAAGACGAGATTACTCTTGCATTCTTGGATAAACATGATCAATTAGTTCTTTTTGTCTAGTCATTTATTTTCGCCATTATTATTGTTGTTACCCTTATTTGCACTATTTAGATGGTATGTGAATATTTATTTATTTTTCCTTATCTTTGTCTTGGTCAGCAAATTAAGTAATTTAGGACTGAGTAGGACATTTAATTAAGAAGACTTCTCTTCTTTTGGACAAGACCAATCGATTGAAATAAATAAAATAATCAGTTCAAAGTTTTCTCTTGTTCCATTCCCATTCATTACATTGCACTACATCAATAACGTAATTCTCTCCAAAAGCGTGAGACTTACAAGTTTGACTTTTTGCCAGTATCCATCCAACAATATGTAAGAAATAAGGTGCTCCAATTTTATCAACAAAGACACTCATCTCTAAGTGTTACAACACATAAGAATCATATGCTTCAACATTCAATAAATGTAAGATGCACTACTGGAACAATTTATAAAAATACAACAATACAAAGAAAAATAAACTATCCCATTCATGATACAGAATATAAAAAAGATACATGACTTATTTTTTTATAAAGAATTTATTCTTGTAAGTGGCGGTCCACCTTGACACTGCTAGGCCAGTTGAACTGGGCTGAAGCAAACTCATGTTTGGTCCCGAAGAGCTCCCGATTGGTTTTGAACAGGTTCCTTAGTCTCAAATAGCTTTCGAGTGCTCATCACAACACAAACTTCAAGTTGGAACCAAAAGTTACAGAAGATAATTAAATTTTAGCAAATTAAATAAAAATGATAATTTGAAAATGAAATAAATGTGAGTCTAAGTTCAAACACGATGGCCTAAAAGTCACGAGAATGGGTGTATAACGACCCGACTTAGCCCCTTTTTGTCAAACCGTTAAATGAGTTACCGAAGAACTAAAATATGTGCACGTGGCCAATGAATTCGACTATACAAGACCAGCAAACAACAATAGAAAGTTCTTTCACACAACGAATTAATGAAAAAGGTCAAGGCTTAAGGTGCTCGCAACAAGCCTAAACCAATTATCACAAAGATTTCTCAAAGGTAAGAGGAGATTGGGTCGACGATCACAAAGTATCGAATGATAACAGAAATAAATTATGGAAACCTTATCAAGTAGGGCTCCTTGGATATTCTAAGATAGAAATGGGCGGTCGAGTTTGAATCATATAGATACGAACGATCAAGACCGCGAAGATCAAGTAGACTGCCAAATAAACTAGGTTCAAACAATATAAATTGAGATTGAGAGTGCAAATAATTGGGTCATAAATATATCTCACTTGGGAAACAAATAACAATCTCCCTATTGTAGCAAGGTCGACTCATAAAACTCATGTTGACATGGGTTCATCATCCCCTTATCTTACTGTTTCTACACTCAAACACAAAGGTAGGCCAAATATGTACCAAACATATCGGTTACCTCACATAGAGTTTTACAAAACATTAATCACATGCATCAACATTCAAAGTTCTCAAGAATGAAAAAACTTCTCAACAGGCAAACAATTAG